GAGGAGAGTACGCTATCAAATTCTGGATGGCTGAGCTTGGAGGAGATAGAGAGCCACTGTCATTTTACAGCATATACCACAGATGTATGGTTGGATTGAGATCTGGAGAATTTGGAGGCAAAGTCGACACCTTAAATATGCTGCATTCCCCAAACCATTCTTGAACCATTTTTTCAGTGTGGCACGATCACATTATTTTGATGAAAGAGGCCACTCCCACCAGGGAATACCGTTTCCATTAAGTTGTGTTCTGGATGGCTGTGCTTGGAGGAGATAGAGAGCCACTGTCATTTTAGAGCCACTTCCCAATCCTTCTGTGTGCAGCACAAACACCCCCCCACCCCCCAACATACACACACAATAACAGGAAAATTGTATTTCATACTTACCGTAATTTTCCTTTCCTGTCCAGCTCCATGACAGCACAAGGCCCATTCGTGTGCTGCCATTGCCATGGAGCTGACAGGAAATACACGTGCAACATTGCGGACCATATTGTGGTGTATGTTATGCACATGTACATTGTTAGAACGCATTGCAGTGCTTGATTTTTAATTCAAATACAATGGCAGTGGCAGTGCATTGTGATACGCTGTGTTGAGATTAAATATATGCCTGCATCATTTTATCACAACACAAACACCAACACAGCGCACAAACGGCTCTACAGATCAGGCATTACCACAACACAGATTTGTAACCTACGTTGCTTGTTATAGCTACAGAGATGAAGGGAGTCAGCCCTATACTAATGTCCTTGGGCTTGGATTAGAATGTCCAACAAGCTCATATAGGTATGATGGGTAGCTGCCCACAAGCGTTGGGCTACATAGTGTAAGTGAGAGTAAATTTGATTATCACATAAGAAATCGCACATGCAATATGTACTTACTAATAATGTTTACATTTTCTTTTCACTTTAGCGATACCAGTGGAAAGTGCCAAACAAAATCCAAATGTTGCTCTAGTGCTTACCGCCTACGGAGGCCACATTGGATTCCTGGAGGGCATTTGGCCAAGACAGCAAACTTACATGGATCGTATTTTCAAGCAGTTTGTTCAAGCGATTTTTGAGCATGGCAATGAAATTTCAAGCATGTAGCTTCTTGAAATGATGCTATTTTTGTTGTCCACTACTCATTGTTATACAGTGGCAGGCTCTTAAAAAACAAACAAACAGAAAGTCAATGCAGCTTATGCACAAGTTAACCTTTTAGATGCTGATGACTTATGAAACTTTACCTCTAAGGAAGTACAGGGGTTAACAACCAATTATAACAAGCAGGCAAACCAGCGAACAGGATTGAATTCTCTCGTATTCAACACTAGCAAATATATACATAT